AGTGGGACTGAGTCATCATCTCTATCTGTATGGGCCAAGGCTTCAACTTCCTGTAGCATGCTGAGAGAACTACAGGCTGTGAAAATACGTCGGAAATCACCCAGAGCTGGCACACAGCCAGCACATGCACTCAAAAATGCTTTTATCCATGGGGCCCTGCCCTTCTCTAATGGTGGAAGCTGGCTTTTAATCAGTGTTGTATCTTGTAGAGAAAACGGCGCGTACGTCACAGAAACGCCGCCCTGTGATGTGTCAGTTTGAAGTAGTGGCATTTGGTGCGCAGACTTCTCTAAACATGCATGTATATTTCCTCCACGTTTACTATCGCGTTTTAAAGAGGCAGAATAGGGATGACCTCTGTCACCCCACTCATCAGAACTATCACTTTCAGACCCAACTTGCACTGCCCTGTGACAATCATGCTTTTTATTCCCTGCAGCAGAAGCAGTACAAACACTGGATGGCCTGAGTTTTAACTAAAGGATTCCTCATACTGGCTGAGCCAACTGCACTACTGCGACCAGAAGTGCCTGGCTCCGCACTGCAAGGGGTAGTCTGTGCCCCAGATCCTGCAATCACACCATCTAAATACTGTTGTGCACTAGTCCAGTCTTCCTCCTTACCGGGAAAACTGGCTGCTTTTAAAATACCTCCTTTAATCACAACTAATGATGAACCACTGTGTTCAGTGTCAGCAAAAGCACGTAATGGCATTTGGTGGTGAGCTTTATTTTGAAAGTCTGGCTCTTCTCTGTCTTTCTCTGCAGCTTGTGTGTGAGGAGGAGGGGCTGAGGGTGTGTGTGCTCTCGTTGCACAGGAGGAAGTATCAGGGACATGCGCTGTTGTAAAACTCAATGTAGCTCTGAATTTTTTCAAATTCTCCCAGAAAACAGACACTGTCCTGTAAAAATGTCTCACATTCTTTAAGTTTAGCTTCTGTTTTGTGCCTCTGTAACAAACTCGCTGTCTTATGGCAGAGACGTGCCTGTGTAGTCAGGCGATCAGCCTGTTTAATGAACAGTTTTACCGCCCCATCAGCTGGTGGGGCTTTGTTATAAGACCCAAAGAAACCCTTATTAGTCATGTTTTGGGCCCAACCTACGAATCTATCAGTTTCACTACAATGTTGGTTCAAACTCTGTGTGCCAAGCCATTTGTTCAACAATT